TAGTAGCAGGTGTGTGCTCTTGTAATTCACAACAGCTATAGCTGAGCAGCTTTATCATTGTTTAAGGAAAGGTTAATGAAATAGTTTCTCAGTGTTTTTTGCCCATTATTAAACTAGAATGACCTGAGACTAACAAGGCAAGTTTCTTTAGGTAAATCTGATATCTTTTATTAGACCAATAAAAGATACCAGATTTACCCAAAGAACCTTGTCTGCATGTGTCCTTAGACCAACACGGCTACAACTCCAAGACTAACAAGGCAGACAAGGTTCTTTGGGTAGATGTGATATATTTTATTAAACTAACTAAATAGTTGGAAAAATTGTTCTTTGCAAGCTTTTGGGCACAAACACCCATATATATATATATATATATATATATATATATATATATATATATATATATATATATATATATATATATATATATATATATATATATATATATATATATATATATATATATATATATATATATATATATATATATATATATATATATATATATATATATATATATATATATATATATATATATATATATATATATATATATATATATATATATATATATATATATATATATATATATATATATATATATATATATATATATATATATATATATATATATATGATCTAGTACAGGGCTGCACTCTCTAGCCCCCGTTGCCCACAGGTTTGGACATTTGGCAACAAAGGAGTGGCAACTGCTCTCCTCCTGAGAGCTGGACAACGCAACAGCAAGGGCTCAATCTGCCCAGCTGGCCAGGGGTTGAGCACCTCTGCCCTAGAGGATTACAAGGGCTGTGGGTGGCATTGTCATAGAAACTCCGAAACCAAACTCAGCAGGAGTTCTGCACCATTCAGAGAGGATGGTTCAAAGAGGATCCTGAATCAGAATCACTTTATTCAGAGTCCTGAATGCAGGCCAGAGCCGCTCTCCCCCTCTCCTTTCTGTGATATTTAGCCTTTATTCTGGGCCACGCTTCTCCTACGCCATCTCTACTGATCCTGGATCCTCAATGGTTTTGCTGGTTGTTTTTAACACTTTGGCAAGTTTGGGGTCCCAGGCCTCTGGTAACAAAGCAGCCTCTGTTAGTTGAAAGGCATAGAACAGGAGTGGGCAAAATGTAGCCCAGGGGTGGGATGCGGCCCGCCAGACCATTCTATCCGGCCCACGGGGCCCCTAAAAAATTTAGAAAATTAATATTTATCTGCCCCTGGCTGCCTATCATGCAGCCCTCAATGGCTTGGCAAAACTCAGTAAGTGGCCTTCTACCCAAAATAATTGTCCGCCCTTGGCATAGAATCATACAAAATTAGAAAGATGGGCTCTATTCCAGTTACGACGATGGGCTGTATACATGGGGAAATGTCCTTCAACTTGGGGACAAAGAAGGACAGCTATCTGCTGAGGTCACTGTTCAGCGCAACAAACATATTACCCCTTTCCTCAACGTTATTTGTGAGAGGTATGGATTTGTTGCCCCATTTCAGGAGAGGCAATCTGGTGAAGATGCCATCGGAAGACTCTGTGCCTAGCACAAGACCTAGGGAGCTGGAGTGAAGAAAGAGCCTGCAGCCTTGGTGCTTTGCATCTCTGGCCTGGGCTTTGTTGCTGGAGGAGAAAGGATGCGAGTTTGAGGCTGTGGGAGTCCTGTGTTTGTTGGGCCTAGGGGCCAACTCTGTGTCTGGTGAGTGTCTTTTCCCCCACCAGCCGGACCTGGTCTGGGCCCATGAGCAGGGTCAGCCTCAGCCCTAGCTGCCTGCTTTCCATCCTACCCAGGCTGGGACAGCTGGAGGCCCCAGAAGGGGGAAAGTTGGGAGTTTTGAGAGACGCAGCAGCTGGGCTGGGGCCAGGTGGAGATGGGCAAGTAGAGCCCAGTGTATCCTCCTAGCCTGCGGTGCATGGGCCTTGCAGCGGGAGGAGCCTGGAGCAGTGTTGGGAGTGTGGGTCAGGAGTATCTACTAAATAGGGTGCCTGTGAGCCTGGTTTGGGGGAGGCAGGGGCAGAAGTGCTGCTGGAAGGGCTAGTAGTGTGGAGTGGGAGGCAAAGCAGGCAGAGGGGCTGAAAAGGGGAGCAGGGGAATGGGGTAGTGTTTACAACCTGAACCTATCTGCTCTCAGAAGCTCTTAAGCAGGGTTTGGTCTGGTTAGTACTTGGCTGGGAGACTGCGTGGGAATCCCAGGTGCTGTAGCCTTTTCTTCCTGTTTGTTTTTTTTTTACCTTTCTTGCCCCATCCTGAGCTTTCTGGGGCTGCCCAGCCACAGGCTCCTTGCTTTGACTCATCTGTCTTGGGGGCCTTGTTACATACAAAGGTGAAGATGGCTCTTGGAGCTCTGAATCCCTGGACTGTCTGCACTTTAATGCCTCAAACTAATTTAAGCCTGCATTAATGCTATGCATCAAATTGGCCTGTCTTTTCTTGAATACATGATTTGATGCAGCGTTAACCTGGGTCTGTGGAGCAGTGGTTAGTCCCCTCTGCTTTTAAAGGGGGCTATTGGGTATGCATCATTTAAATCTGGGGGGCAACTTATTCAAGAAAAGACAGGCCTATTGAATGCACAGGGTTAACCTAGGCTTAATGCCCATGGAGCAACGGTTAGCTCCCCTGTTATTACCAGAGGCTATTGGGTATGCATCAACTAAAATTGGGGACAGCATATTCAAGCAAAGACAAGACTCTGTGGTGTTGTCACCCTCTTCTTAGCCTGAGTCTGAGACCATGCTTCCTTTGTGCCTTTGAACCAAGCACTTGGCATTCTCAGTCAACTCTTTAATGTAGTAGATGTGTTCCAAAAGGCTTAACACAATACATAGCTTGGTACTTCTATGAAAGTTATTCTTTGATTAAAATGGAATGCAGCCTATAAAATAGTTTTGATCTTGAAACAGATTTACTTTAAATTATCAGTTTGGGGGAAAAACCAAACAAACCTCTGGTTCTGCTTTTTTTAAAATACAAAGTTTTGCTTTCTCCATAGGAAAGAGACAGAATGTCACTGTAACTAATTCCAGAGAGCCTGTTTGCTGTGATGTGGAACACAGACCAGAGCCACTTGTTCTCTGTGTTCTTTAGTTCCCCAACTAACTAAACACAGGTTGGAAAAGAACCTCTGTGAATCCTGGCTTAGACTTCAGAAGATGTGGCAGGTTTCTGTCACCACACTAAATTCATGCAAAACTGCCATGAGTGAGTGAATGGACTATCACACTGGTAAATATGGATCTGTAGAATTTTAGACATGAGCTGAGACACTTTCACAATTGCTTTATGAGGCTGCTTTATAGTTTTGTATGTTTTTTGTTGACATGCTTTCATTTGCTGTTTTTGCTCCAGAGAAATATGAATTGAATTGTGGGAAGTGTTTTGCAAGCAATATAGTAGCAGGTGTGTGCTCTTGTAATTCACAACAGCTATAGCTGAGCAGCTTTATCATTGTTTAAGGAAAGGTTAATGAAATAGTTTCTCAGTGTTTTTTGCCCATTATTAAACTAGAATGACCTGAGACTAACAAGGCAAGTTTCTTTAGGTAAATCTGATATCTTTTATTAGACCAATAAAAGATACCAGATTTACCCAAAGAACCTTGTCTGCATGTGTCCTTAGACCAACACGGCTACAACTCCAAGACTAACAAGGCAGACAAGGTTCTTTGGGTAGATGTGATATATTTTATTAAACTAACTAAATAGTTGGAAAAATTGTAAATATAATATACATATATGAACTTTTTCACATTTCCAAAGCGTAGACTTTAAGAACAATGCCAAAAATCATGAGAATTGGCAGTACTGAACATCTGAACTCTGTGAAATTGAAACCAAAAGTTGGAAACCCTAAGTCACTGAATGTTGCCTTTTGTTTGTATGAGAGAGGAGGCATGCAAATTTCTTTTAAAAGGTCTAGAGACTCCTTTCAAGAAAAGGCTGGAATTCATGATGTTTTGACCCCCTTCTTAGGCTAAGTGAGCATGATGCCATTCTGGTTGGCCACAATGGAAAACTCACCATGTTTTCAATTAAGAAACAACAGGTTTAGTGGGAAAATATACATAGCAAAAGCATTTTTGTGTCTTCTGTTTTGATTCATGGTTTTGTCTCCATGATTTTTTATAATTTTGGGGGGGGTGGGAGGGTGAGTACAGCTATAAGGTCTGTCATAAATGGACTATCTTTCATTTCCCAAAGCTCTAGTTGCTTAAGTTCACTGGCAAGATATTTTTGTGAGAGCCTTGACATTAGTACAGTGTGTATCAATGATGCCTGCTATGTTAGATAAAATTGTGTAAAGGCACACCTACCTCTTGGAGATTGGGTGAATTGGGTGTGTAAAGCATACCATCAGGTATTGAGCACAGTATGATAATTTTAGAAGCAACACAGCCATGAAGCTGGCAAGAGTTTTCTAATATTATATTGATTATTGAAAAGCAGTTCCTGCTGTGTTGTTTGTGAAGCGATGCCCCTGAATTTTGGGACAAATTCTTATTGTTGGCTTGGTGTTCTTAGGTTTTGTGATGATAACTTTTTAATGAAAACTTTGAGGAAGGAAGACAGTAGAGCTGTGAGCCTAGTTGTCATAGGTCAGTATAATCAGATTGCTGCATCTGTATTTAATTTCAAAGCAATGAACCTTTTTTTTTCTTTTGAAATATTCTTGACAGTGATAGTTGTCATTCAACCAACCCTAGTGTCATGTGACTGGTGCCAGATAACACTTTTCTGGCTTCTAGCCTGGGAAAAGGGGATTGTATTTTAATATCAGAAAGCTGATGCTGGTTCCTGGTTGCAGGCCTAGTTGAACGAGAAGTACCTTCATAACATTGTTATCAACTGGAGACTCGTAAAGAAAAGGAAAGAGCTGGGACGTTGGTGAATAGAGATGATCTCCTTCAAGCAATTGCCTCTTGAAGCAAAGGCTGCAGTAGCTGCTGGAGTTGTCTTCTTCTCCATGATGATATCACGGACCTACCTGGTGGAACGACTTGAACTCAGGACATGGAGGTGGCTGCTCAGGTTACAGATGATGCTGTTTGTTAATGTGCTTATGATGATAGGGTCTCTCCACATCTGGAGAAGCACAGTGGCCATATTCTATCGGTCTTCAGCTGCCAACTCCTTTTGTTTCAGGCCATGGAAAATAATTGTGCTAACCTTTCTAGTATTGGCACACTCAAGCTTTTTTACATTGTTGTTTCTAGTGGCAGAAGAGCCCTACATCTTTTCATTAGCTGCTTACACATGTCTAGGAGCCTATATCATCCTTATATTCTTCCTCTTCACTCTAGGTTCTGTAGAGCAAGCTTATAAATTCTTGGCTGGGAGGGGTGTGAAGACAATCGGTGTCAGTAAGAGCAGTAAGTTGGCAATGAAGCCAGTTTTGGCTGTTATGGCGACAGTCGCCCTGACCACTGTTGGGTTGTTAAATGCTTCCCAACCTCCTGCAATAAACTTGGTGGAAATTCCAGTTCACAAACTTCCCTCATCAATGGATAGCTTGAAGGTGGTATTGTTATCAGATATCCATCTGGGACCCACCGTAGGGAAGACTAAACTTGCAATGATTGTGAAGATGGTCAAGGCTTTAAAACCAGATATCACTGTGATTGTGGGTGATCTAACAGATTCTGAAGTGACAGCCATCCGACCTGCTGTTGAACCTCTTGGCGAGCTCAGTTCACCATTGGGAACTTACTTCGTCACGGGCAATCACGAGTATTATACTTCTGATGTAAGCAACTGGTTTGAATTGCTGAAGTCATTTAATATTCGTCCACTCCACAATGAGAATGTGAAGATAAGGTCACCAAGCAAAAGTGATGATTGGTTCTGTCTGGCGGGGGTTGACGATATTGAGGCTGATGTATTGCACTATTCTGGGCACGGCATGGATTTAAAGAAAGCCCTAAGTGACTGTAGTGCTGATCGTGCAATAGTACTTCTGGCTCATCAGCCAATTGCCGCAAAATGGGCTCTCCAAGATCGGCCAGACATAAACTTGGTGCTCTCTGGACATACTCATGGTGGTCAGATGTTTCCTCTGAATGCTGGGGCGTATTTGATGAATCCCTTCTTTGTTGGCTTGTACAAAGTTGGGCAAAGCACCTTTGTATATGTCAGCCCAGGGACTATGTACTTTGGAGTGCCAATGAGGCTGGGCAGCAGAGCTGAAATAACAGAGATCATCCTGCGTTCTTCCTGAACAGCCCATCAATTTCAAGATTTTGTAATTTCTATCACGAATGCAATTAGTTGTCCTAGTGGTCTGTGACCCGTGTCCATGCTCAGCATGTGCCCAAGAAGTTAATGGAGTATAAAGTCTAGGTATGGGTGGACTTGGTATCATCAGACTTATGGGAATGAGCTAGGAGAATGCACTGCTACTTCTGTTACAGATTAGGCCTATCACATATCACAGATGTGTGGAAGTTCTGAAGAAGTCAATTACAGCTCCTCTTTCTGTTGGGATGCAACATTTAAAGTATAAATCTAAACATTGATGTCATGGTGATAAGTGTTTCTCTGTGCATGCTTAATATATGTAACTTGCTCTAACTCATGTTCCATTATTTTCTCATTTGCTGGTATCTGACAGAGTGTCATCTAGGTCATGATGAAGTATAGTTCTGTCATCTGGGAAATATGATGATGTTGTGCATGCAGATTTTGCAGAGTGTTCTACAAAGTCTCCATTCAGGTGTAGAGAATCTTGTAACATGTCAGTAATGGGTGTGTGGGTTGTCAACTGCTCTTACAGAAGTGAAAATAATGTCTGTTTAAATTATTTTGCTGTATATTTTGGGGTCCCAAGTCTTTCCTGGGGTTTCTCATACTACTGTAATGCTAAACCAAGTAGATGCCCATGTGTTCACTCGTAAAATCTATAATGATGGGATTAGATTGTAATAGGGAAAGGTGGTAATAGCTGCCTTTTTAACTTTACCAGAATTTAACCAGACTTCCAATAGATACCTGATAATGACATATGAAAATGACACCATTAACTTAAAAATCCTTTTTCTGTTTGAGCATTTGATAACTTATTGGTAAGTAATGCCTGAAATCTGGAAGTGAACAAGAATAGAGAAAAATCATGTTTGTTTGTTCAGGTTTTTGTTTCTTTTTTCTGGTTGAGTAGGCTTTCCCTTGGCAATGGGGAAGGAGACAACTTAAAAGTAAGGCAAATGTGACTCAGAGTTAACATCAATACTTGAAACTTTAGATGCACTTTAATGTTATCTAGATTTCAAATTGATAGTGTCTGTAAAGCATAGCTAGACTAACTACCAGCCAGCTTCCCTTTGGGGAGGTTGGTTTTGTATTTTCCTGATAACCTGATTGTCAGCTCTTATTTTGTTATGTGGGGAAATCCTTCCAGCCATCTCTACCCCCACTTAAATGGGTGTTATCTAGCACCTGATTGTGTATTTGAATTTGCTGTCTTTTTAGCACTATGTAATATGGATAGCATTAGTGATTTGCTTGCTTCTTAATTTTAGTTCTAAAAATATTGGTCAATTTTTTTTTTTGCGTCCCCAGCATACTGCTGCTGATGTATGAGGTTCACAAAATGAGTTGGAACTGATTTGTGTATATTGTCCAAGTTGACTGAAGTGTACTTGTAAACTTATACAGTTTGCATTGCTTTGCTCTCAGTGTTACAATTTTGAGGGGGAAGGTGAAAAAGTCTAACCACATTATTTCAGCTCTTCCTCTGGCACAGAATTTGCAAATGAAATCTAGCTCTTTCTCTGTGTTCCTGTCCATGAAAACCAAAGTTCCTTCTCTTAGCTGGTGGACTGACTATGGGCAAACTGGTGTCTTGGACAAGGAGCCTTTCAGGAAGGTGGGCAACCTTTCAGGAATTCCAAACCAGCTGCCTGGGAGTCACCTGTCTCAGGCCACTGATTCCCCTACTTACCTTTGCCACTGAGTGCTGCTGACTCCCCTCCCCCACTCTCCCTGCAGCTGATGGCAATGGGTGACAGTGAATTTGATGGTGAGGGTAAGCGGAAGCTGCAGTAGTGGGGAGAGAGAGCAGCCCTCACCGCAGGGAGGGCTGAGGCAGCAGCAGGTGGCTTGGGTGCTGCAGAGGGGATCACTGGCACATGGCAGAGGAAGGCACAGTGCAGGGAGGAGCAGATGCCCTTGCTGCTGCCTGTCCTGATTTTTTTTCCCCACCTCTCTGCCCACCCCTGAAGTGCTGCTGTAGCTCAAATCTGGCTTGTGGGCCATTGGTTGCTGACCCCTGTCTTAGACCAACACAGGGACCCGAAAGTCTTAGGTTCTGGTGTTCTGTTCATACTTCCCCTGATTTGCTGGTCAAATCATATAACTTTTTTGTACCTCCGTCTAGTTGATTTGGCCACATTTGCTGTGGGATCTGAGTGTCACAATAAGTCTGCTCAGGAAAGGCAGTATTAACAAATGAGGAAAGAGGCATGTGATACTTTTGATAGAGCAGGAAAAACCACCCCCTTGTCTGGATCATGCCCATTGCTAATGCTTTAAGCTCCACCTTCACAGAGTGCTTTGTGTTTTTGAGCACCTTTCACTTAAGGAAATGCCTTGGGATCCCTCGTTTCCCCTACATGACTTGCTATGTTTTGTACACATTTTCCTCTGACTTTTTTCCATAACTAAATAGAGTTGATGCTACCTGGCCCCAGCTCCTACAAGCATTTGGCCTGCATTGTCTCTGTGAAAGACGTGAGTTGAAGTTTGTCTTCTGTTGAGTAGTGCAAAGCATTCCCCCTAAACCAGCGAGCCCAGGAGGATTCTTTGATGATTAAATTGAGGGTTATTACTGTGTGTGATGCATGCTAATTATCTAGCTAGTTACCTCCCTGGGGAGGCTTGTACTATGGGGAACCTGTTGTGTGTGTGTGTGTGTGTGTGTGTGTGTGTGTGTGTTTGTGTCCATCTCAGAATTCCTGTCATATCCTTTCCAAGAAAGCACAAATATTCACAAAAATCAGTACAAAGAAATGGTTCCTACCACGAATGCATGGGTGACTTAAATTGCTGCACATTAAATATGTATGTGTGCATTTGAATGCCTTTTGCTTCAATGGAATCCCCTTTTTCCTAATAGTTTATTGCCTGGTGTACTAAATCCATTTCTGTCTTGATTATCTTTAGTGGTGAATGGGTTTATTATTTTGTTTGAGAATTTAGCCTGAGGGTTAGTTAATTTGTTTACTACTAGAAGGTGATTTTATTGAAAAGGCAACATTGCCTACTTATGTCACAGAGAGATACCCAAATCATAGATTGACTGAAATAGTTTATATTATAAAACAACCTGTATTAGGAAGTATTTATTTCTGTATTATCAGTGCACTGATACCTGATGATAGTGTTCTGTCCAACTTAATAAAATATTGTTCACTGATCAAGAAAAAGTCTCTTCTGTAGTTATCTTTTGTTATTTTGTGGTTGGTGTCGCTGGAAATGGATATCTAGAGAGACCTACTTTAGGAAATTAAAAAATGGCACAAATGAATGTTCTAATATAATAAAAGACTTTGCCTCTGTCTGTCTGTCTGTCTGTCTGTAACACTCCAGGCCAACTGCGCATGCACCACCGAGAGGGTGAGCGCTAATTGGCTGGGCAGCCCGGCCTGTGCAGCCGAACATGTCCCAGCTGCCTGAGCAGCGGGGCTTCCCTCCCGCCTCCCTGCCAGAGGGTGAAGGGGGCGATGATGGTGGCAGTGCCCCACTGCTGCCTGGCCCCACTGGCCCCCAGAACAGCTGGCAGGGAGGGGGAGGAGGCGGCAGAGGGCAGGGCTGGGCCCACCGGGAGTGCCATGCGGTGCTGTGCCTTGGGGGAGGCGGTGCGCAGGGAGGAAGGGAGGGGAGCGGGGAAGGAGGCTGGCAGACTCAGGCCGGGTGGACCCAGAGTGGGGAGTGGTGCTGGACCCGAAGCGGTGGGGAGGGGGGAGAGCGGGTCCGGACCCAAAATGGCGGCGGGGTGGTGGGGAGGAGGTATATGCACCTTGTAAAGAGGCTGGCAGTGCCTCTTCAGACGACAAGTATGATCCCTGCTTACCTGAGAGGGCAGTGACAATGCTGAGGCGGGAACTCCAGGTGTGCCTCAGACTGAATTTACCAGAGTGCCAGGTGCGTCAGATTGGGTCCTCCCAGTGCCCCAGAGCTACTTCCAGCTGGAAGTTTTCCGTGGGGAAGGAGAGTGGGAAGGAGAGAGGAAACCAGCAGGAGGGAAGCTCTGGTTAAGGGCCAAGATGCTATTCCCTGGGAATGGGGTTTGAGACCTAGACAGTCTGTGAGCTCGGAGGAGCTCTGAGAGGATGGCTGTCCGTCAAACATGGCAGCTGAAGGTTGTGGACTGCGGAGGGAAACCTGAATATACAGGAAAGTCTTTTTTTTCTTTTGCGTTTCACTGGCAATGCAGACTGTGAGGCTGTGTAACCCCAGGGGGCATTGGCTCGAATTAATGAAGGCAATTAGAGGAACCCCTAAGGGAAACCTAGCCAGCCGAAGAGGGATTGTGGCTTAAAGGGACCATACCTTTAGTGTCAGTAGCTAGCACTGAGTTCAGGGTTGGTTTGTTTTTTAGGGGTTTTTTTTTCTCTTTTTACAAAAAAGGAGAGGATTCCCCCACAGTGTTTTTTCTTTGTCCTGCTGAGTGAAAGAAACCCTTCAGGATGGCTGGATCCTGGGCATCAAGTGCAGAAAAACGGGGACAAAAGAAAAGAAGAGAGAAAGGATTTGTTCAATTTATCAAACAAGTCTGGGTCTGAGTTCTGGACAGTTTAAAGACTCTTTTCCATATCGGAGGTAATTATCCTGAAGAAGAAACGATATCTGGCCTTCAGTTAAAGAAAACTGTCAGGCCAACCACATGCATATGTTCCAGATTATACCTGTTACCATGATAATTGGTTGGTGTATGGCTGGGATGAAAGGGGAGGTTGGAACCCCACTCGGAGGGCGCCTTGCGCCATAACAAAACTCACGGAGGTAACATCACCTCCAAAAGAACAATCCATCAAGTTGTGGCCGGCGAGAATTGGGTGGAAATCAGAGTCTGATTGGTTGGGCCAAGGCATTCTAGACAACCACGTCCAGGTGAATGTCATCAGGATGTCGTGGGCCATGCCCTTATGTGGTGATCCCCTGACTTTCCTCAAATGCAGAGGAGTAAAGAATGAGGTTTGGGATGGGAAGCAGGTGCCATAGTGCAGTGGCACAGGGACAGAAGTGGAAGCCCAGTGGGAAAAGGAGGAAGTTGGACTTCGAGGATGAAGTAGTAGGAGAAGGATGGAGAGGAGAGCAGTGGGAATGTGAAGAGAATATAGACAGGCCCAAAGAGATGGTCAGAAGGGAGGAGACAAGGAAGGAGCTGAGGACAGAGGTTTGGGAGCAGAAGAGCTTTGCTAGAGGCAGGGAGGCAATTGTAGAAGCGACTAATCACTCAAACATGCCCAACAGAACTTGGGTATCATAATATTTTCAGCAAAGAGCTGTGAAACCCAACAGCAAAGTGTATCCTCATCCCCATTCTGTGACATGGCCCCATATCAGCTTTTGACTGCTCCTAGTAAGTTCATTAGCCACATGGTGTGTAAGTCTGTGCTTTGGATCTGAATATCTCAGCAATTCTGATGATGTGTGAAGGTGTCCTGTTTAGTTCTGGACAATAAAACCTTTTGTTTTCTGTTTAGCTTTCAAAGACAGACATGGAAGCAGTACACACAAAGCCATGTTAAGAAAAACCCAATGAGGTTGCAAAACTAAATACAGGCAGTCCTCAGACTTACAACACAATTGATTCCTGAAAGCTGCCTCTTAAGTTGAAACGTCATAGCTCGGAACGCGCGTTCCTATGGGAAAAATGTTATAAATGGGGGATTGGTTCCTGAACCAAGGTCTGATACTCTGTCTTCACCAAAAATACTCCAGAATTTTGTACTCAATCAATTATACATGAGTAATATAACTACATTAATGTGTTTATATTGTAAATAGCAATCATATTGATTTGGAAGGACTTCTTTGAGGTGACTTTGCTGGACTTTTTGAAGGGTTCTTGGCTGGAGTCTTCTCAGGAGTCTTGGCTGGAGGTTTTTTTGGAGTCTTGTCTGCTTTCTTAAAGAAAGCGTCCAAGGAAGTTTGGACAGATGTTCTCCAGGGAGATGGGCGATGCAGCGAACTTGTTCGCTGGTGTGGCGTTGCGCCAGATCAAGCGTTGTAAAGTTGAAACTGACATCAGAAAGTTGAAATGGTGTCAATTTATAAACTGTGCAAGTGCCATTTGTTGTAACTTGAAACATCTTAAGTTGAGGGCTGACTGTGTTCAAAAGTTAGGAAAAAACAGAATTTAAGATTGTTTGGATTGCCGTAATTCAGCCCCCTTAACTGTGCATGTACTCTGATATAGTCTTTAATTTATATGCTCATGGACTACCTTTTCACTAGAGTGCACTCTCATTCCGTACACAGGCTGGACATGCTCCAGGGATGAACAGGTTAAAGGAACTTTTGTATGTAGAACCCATACTTCCTTATTTGACATGGGAAAGTGCCAGGGATAAGGCAGAAAATGTCAGGAAGAGAAGTCTCATGGTTAAGACAATTGATTGCTGCCCTGAAACATGGTGTGTCCCTGCTTTCAATACAATTTCCATGTGATATCTGACAAGTCACTAAACCAACATTTTTCCAGTTGGCCATTATATGTTTCATTTTAGTAAGCAATTTGAGACTGGAGCCAGATTTGCAGAAGTATGGTGTATGATTGTAATATGCATCCCTTTCTTTATCCTTCCATTTTTATATCATGTATCCTGTTGGGCAGCAGTTTTTCATCTTGTTTTGGTCATGTGTCTGAGGAAGTTGCCTTCCCTCAGCTTGCTTTCTCTATCTTTTTTGAAAATTGGTTACACTTCTTTCAAGTAGTACAGGAACTTTGCAGAAATGTTAGACCTTTAACTTCCAGTTGCCCTCTGGTTAGAAATGAAACTCTGAAGAATTTCAGCTAACAAATCACTGAATATCGGGTGTATGGTACACCTAGATCTCTTTGTACTTGACTCCTCTTGTTTAATTTTCAGCATCAAATCTAGCAGAAGGGTCACTGAAATTCAGTCCCTTTTCAAAGGGCACGTGTATTGATTCAGAGTGCTCAGTGCAGAAAGCTAAGCTTTTAGCATTCTGGTTGGTTCTGTGCTCTTGGGTCTTGTGTATTTAAACTGTCATGGTGATTATAGTGCTACCACCACATAAAGGTAGTGACTTACATCCACTTAACAGAATGAAAAACGAGCAGAGCTATGGAGAACCACACAACTCACGTCATTACTTGCTTAACTTACAGGTTTATTGTGGTTCCTTTGATCTATTTGGCTAAGGTTGAAGGCTGTAAAAGAACCAATATTTTGTCACCGGTTCAGGTCATGTTCTTGTTGCTCCTGAGATCTAGGGTATAGAAGAGTTCAATAAGCACAATGGTTTAATAGAAAACTGTCTTTTTGATGGAGGTGGGAGCTCACATTATGTAACTTTCTTGACATGCAGAGCGTACCTCAGAGAAGTTTCGGAATTGACTACGACTGCAACTGCTTCGTCAAGGATGGGAAGCCATTCCGCTACATCTCGGGTAGCATTCACTATGCCCGTGTGCCCCGGTACTATTGGAAAGACCGTTTGTTGAAGATGAAGATGGCAGGCCTTGATGCCATTCAAACGTGAGTAGCAGTAGATTTTTTGGAGGAGTCTTAAATTAGGGCAACGAGGAGAATTAGTTAAGTTGGGCATTAACCTATTTTTTTAAATTACAGTCAGTATACTCTGTGAAGCTGAGGGCACTTCAGATGCAAAGCTGAGCTGACATACGTTCCCCTTAGGTCTCTGTGTGTTGCAATATGAATGGAAGCCTTAAATGTATAGAAGCAAGTTTGATCTAGGCAGACCTTTTAATTCTAAAATGACTACTGTAAATGTGAGAGGTTGATCTGGAAAAGGAGTTCTAGACAATTGTGTGCACATGTTCCTTATCCCCTAATTGTACCCTATCTGGTTGGCTTTGTCAACCTTATAGCCTAGGGTGCGGACACGTAGTGGGATTAGCATGGAGTAATGTACCCTGCACTTTACTGTGTGGGCCCTCAAAGGCGTAGATGGACAAGTAACTAGCTGTCCCCAGTTTATGGCCTGCAGGACGTGCTTTTACAGAACTTTACCACTAGGTGGCAGGGGTGCTAACTTGAATTTAGCAAACTGGTTCCCTGCCATGAAATCGACTGGAGGAGCAGACACACAACTGCTTCATCTTTGTTTGGTAACTCAGTATTTTGAGGGGTAACTTTTACCCTGCAGCTGAGTGACTTAAACTGATACTGCATGAATCTGTGTTTCAGTGCTTTTACTAGGGAATAAAGTCAATTCACTCTGTTATGCTACTTGGATGTGCTTAGTCAGCATCAGTTGTAAGAACTAAGGCTTGGAACTGGAGTCATACACCTGGGAGCCAAGGTCAGAATATCTTGGCATGAGGAAGCTAGTATTTCAAGGCTCTGCAAATGGTTATGCTGCCAGGCAGTAAGATACAATGGTAAGAAATGAGATTTGGAGACAGTCACATGGTTTTGGAGAAACCAGGAGTCGGTGGAGAATATTCAGGGACAAATCTGCTGAATAACCTGCAGAATATTGCCCCAAGCAGGCTTAAAATGAAGGCTGCTACTCCTCTTCCTTAGTCAATCCCAAAACACATCCAGGTATCTCATCCCATTCTCATAAATAAATTAAGAGGCTGTGACTTGGATGTTTACACAGTCTGGTGGATGGCAAATTGGCTTGGGCGGTCACACCCAGAGAGTAATAGTAGATGGGTTGGTACCAACCTGGAAGGATGTGGGTAGTGGGGTCCTGCAGGGCTCGGTCCTTGGACATGTACTCTTCAGTGTCTTCATCGGTGACTTGGATGTGGGCGTGAAGTGCACTTTGTCCAAGTCTGCGGATGATACTAAATTGTGGGGTGAAGTGCACACTCTGGAGGGTAGAGAATCATTGCAGGCAGACCTGGACAGGTTGGAAAAGTGGGCAGAACACAATAAGATGCAGTACAACAAGGACAAATGCAGAGTGCTGCACTTAGGGCATAAAAATATCCAGCACACCTACTGGCTGGGAAATGACCCTCTCAGCAGCACAGAAGTGGAAAGGGATCTTGGAGTCTCAGTGGACTCAAGGTGAACATGAGTTGTCAGTGTGACAAAATCATCAGCAAAGCTAACCAGACTTTATCATGCATCAGCAGATGCATGACAAATAGAACCAAGGAGGTGATACTTCCCCTCTATGCGGCATTGGTCAGACCACAGTTGGAGTACTGCGTCCAGTTTGAGCGCCGTACTTTAAGAAGGATGCGGATAACCTTAAGAGGGTCCAGAGGAAGGCCACTCATATGGTTTAGGGTTTACAGGCCAAGCCCCATGAGGAGAGTCTAAGGGACCTGGATCTCTTCAGCCTTCGCAAGAGAATGCTGAGAGGTGATCTTGTGGCCGCCTATAAATTCACTGGGGAGCAAAGCAAGGAATTGGAGATGCTCTGTTCACCAGGGCACCTCTTGGGGTAACAAGGAACAATGGTCACAAACTGACAGAGAGCAGATTTAGGCTAGACATCAGGAAAAACTTCTTCATGTGTAAGGGTGGCCAAAACTTGAATTGGGCTTCCAAGGGAGGTGGTACTCTCTCCTACCTTGGGGGTCTTTAAGAGAAGGCTGGATAGGCATCTGGCTGGGGTCATCTGACCCCAGCACTCCTTCCTGCCCGGGCAGGGGGTCAGACTCGATGATCTGTTGAGTTCCCTTCTGACCCTAGCATTTATGAATCTATGAATCAGTTGGGCAGATCCAGCATACTGCACCCTAAGACTAGGTACAGATAGTCAAGGAGCCCAAGGCCAAATCGATTCAGTCTTTGCAGGTTAGTCTAAGATGTGCAGATTAAATTGAAACAAATGTAAACAGACATTTACCTTTGATACAGGAAATGCAGCCACATGCCTGCAGTGGCTCAAGCCAGAAGCTGGGGGCCACTAGATTATGGCTCTCTGGCTGTGTTCACTTCCTCTTCCTGCTGCTCCTGAGGGTCTCTGGGATTTGCAGTCCAGAATTACATCAGCAGGGTTCTGCAGGGTTGCTCATTACTTCCTCTTCCTCCTTCTAGGTGTCTTTGGGATTTATAGTCCACAGTTGCAGCCAGCAGTAAGTTTGAGTGGGGGAAGAGGTGTTTAACCCCACTTCCTGGCCCCAGACTCCCCCCTTCCCCCCCTCCCCGCTTTTGCAGCCAGGCTTGTCCCCCTCACCCCCTTATCAGTCAGCCCTCACTGCTCCAGCTAGGGAGCAGAGGGGCGGGACCAGCCCTGCTCTCTAGAGCAGACAGCACAGGGCTGCAAAGCATGCTGGGATGCTAGGGGACTGATTTAACTTGAACCAGGAAGGGGTCTGGGACACAAATTTCATAAATTGGTTTGACCTAAATCAGTTAAGTCTGATACTACGTTCAACCAGATTTATCTTAAACCAGTTTCAGCCATTTTGAAACTGGTTTATGTGCACTGAGCTTCTGTTTTCATACAGGCTTAAACCAGTTTCTGATCACTTAATCCAGTTTATGTGGAACATCTGGCCCTAGGCTAGTCAGTCTGGATAGGGCTTTCTGTTCTAGCTCCTGCCACTCCTTGGATAAACATGCTGTGTCTTTGCACCCTGAGGCTAGGATAAAGACTGACGGCCCCAGAAGTTTTGTTGCGCTGGGCCGAAGGTTATGTAAATCCTCAACAAGGTGTCGTGGAAACACACGCAGCATACTTTTGGGTCAGGTCAGCAGAAGCTTTTATTCAAAAGAAACTACAGCTGTAGGGGGGACTCCAAAGTGACATGGATCTCCCAAGCACTTGGAAGGGGTCCCCCCCCAAGAGCAAAATCAGGAGGCTTATATACTTTTTAACAGTTGCTTACAACTCACGTGATCATATAGTGAAATTAGCATGAAAAGCGGCTATAACATTACTTCATTATTTCTTTGCTGTAATCAGGATGGGAACTAATGGGGGAGGCGAGGTTAGTTCACAAACCTCCTTCTTGAACCTGCAAATCAGAGTTGTACATACTTTTTGCTATCTTTAAGGCCGCGGTGAGCGAAGCAGTTGCAGAGGAGTTACAAAGAACAAACACTTTCTCTTATCTGTTCTACTATACAGAGCCAGCAATTCTCCACAAAGCGGTTATGTCATCTTATAACTAAAATAGTCAAAGTTTAAGGCATATATTTTTTCTGATTCCACAGTCCCCCCCCTTTGAGACTATTTAGTCTCACTTTATCCTTAAATTTTTATTTTTATGAGCCCCTCTATTTTATCATGCAGCCTTTTATGTTTTTTTTTAATCTGCTTACACTTTTGTAATACCATTATTTTAGACTCTG